GGTATGGCTACAAGAAAAGGGTTTATTTGCAGGAGGAGGGTAAATGTGTGGTGTTTGGGCACACAGAGCAGCAATGCTGCAGCTGTGCCTGGCTGGAATTGTTCTGACCTTTCCAGGTTCCAGAGTTTGACAGAGCCATCAGCTGCACATGAGGCCAGGCTGACATCCTTCTTGTCCAGGGACACAGTGGCTTTGGGGTGGAAGACAATTGCTCCCACATTGGTGCTGTGACCTGAAGAGAAAGGAAAACCCAAGCTCAGAATGTGCCATGTGGCTGTAGCCAATTCTCCAGAGAAGCAGCATTTCCTCACTGCTCACTAGTCAGTGCCAGTGACACTTGCACTGTGTCCTCAGTGCTGGTGACATTGCCCTGTAACCCTCAGCCACACCTGTCCTGCACTTCAGTCACACCCACATCAAACACTGAGGTTTGCAAGCCTCAAACTGCAGTGAAAATACAATACATGAATCAAGAGTTTTGCCCTCAAACTTGTACTTAGTCCAAGCTGTGACCATGACCACTGCTCAAATGACATCACTGTGGTTATGTGCTCCGGCCAGAACTGTTGTTTGTAATTCAAGTAACTCAGACCAGGTTTTGAAACCCAAACCCCTGTACAGAAGCAGCAGCAGCAGCAAACTCAGGGCTGAGGTCTGAGCTCCAGGCCAGGTCTCCCTCCTGGTTACCTGACACATCCTCATGCTCCCAAGCCTGAGTGATGCTTTCAGTAAGAAAGAAATCTGCCCAAACATGACATTTTGAGTGACCAAGTAATTCAGAAGTGGAAGCTCAGCCCGGAGAGGAACAAAAGAACCAAGCCAAGAGCCCCTGAGAGTCACTTGTTACCTCGTAAGGTGTGAACCAGGTTGCAGTCAGGCACAGACCAGAGCTTGCACAGCCCACTCCTGGGGAAGACAGGAATGATGTCAGGGGAGACAGGAACATCAAGGAACAGATCAAACAGAGCTGCAAAGATTCTACAGTGGTTAAAATACCAAAACACTCTGAGCAACCACCACAGGAACTAACAGACTGACTGAAATCTCTGCTCAGAGTAGGGAGAAGAAGCATTTATGGACTTTTAGGATTCACAAGCCTCCAAGAACATCCCTGTCCTTCCATCCTGTGCCCCCCCAGTCCCTTAGAGCAGGTGCTGCCAAGGGAATCTCACCAGCAGGCTGTAGCAAGGAGCTTGGAGTTGGGGCTGAAGTGGCAGTAGGATAGTGGACGATCATCCCCAATCTGACTGCAGAAGTTATTCAAGGACTGTAAAAACACAAACAAAACAATACATGACTAAAGTACAGCCAGACCAGAGCTGAAGCCTGAGGTGACAGCGGCAGGGAGGAGGCAGAGTCCCTTGGAAAGTCAATTCCAAAGGGCCACTGCAGCTCCACTGAGGAGGGCAGAGCCAACATAGCCCTGGGCACAGCTGAGCCCCTCAGGGCCACCCCTGGTAAGTGCCACCACCAACCCCAGAGCCTGTCTGACAGCTGCAGCTCTGACACAGAGCTGGAGTTTGGCCTCTTTCCACAACTCATCCAGTGAATCCAACCAGACAGACAAGCAGGAAGTGTGCTAAGGGGGGAAGCAAATCCTCAGGCAGCTAATGCCTCTGGAGTAAACAGGATTAGGGGGGCAGTACATGGTGTGCCTGAGCTTCTCTGTTTGGTTAAGCCGGGAATCTGGCTTAACATACTTGGAAAGGACATCTGGGTATCATCCCAACGTGTTCTGCATCATGGAGTTGGGGGCACGGGTAGAGGACAGTGAGCAGTCCCTTCCCAGCCAGCCAAACTCATGCCAAAGCCAGGGACACAGGGATTCAGCTTCACAGGCAAGTGGCAAGGCAAGGCAGGACGTCTTTGCATCCCTCTGCCAAGCACAGGGACAAAATACACCTCCCTGGATCACACAGACACCAGGAAAAAGAGGATAAACAGCTTCCCAACAGTGCAGAGACTGATGTGCATCCAGACAGCACCTCCAGCAGCTGAATTCCCTCTGGGCTCCTTGGAGGATCAGCCAAATGTTGTGAACACAGCAGGCAGCAGCAGCTGCCACACCTACCCTCAGGGATTTGTGCAACTCCTGCCTCTGGGATGTCCTGGTGGCCTCAGGAATCTCCTTGAGCAGCCGAGCTTCCTCCAGCCGCTTCGCTGCCCTGGGAAGAGCCGAGCTGGAGTGACCAATCCCTCATTCCCCCTCCCTGCTGCTGGAAACAGGCCTTGCCCTCCTCTTCCCCCCAACCTGGGCTGGATCAGCCCCTGAGAGCTCAAGCTCTGGGCTCACTAGACTGGCCTCCCCGTGTGTACCCCTCCACTCCCTGGATTCCCTGTGCTGCCCAGAGTGGGATCAGCAGCTGGATGTGACCATCTCCCTCTTCACCTGTGCTGCTGGTGCTCTCACCTGGGCAGTGAGTAGTTTGCCAGCCACAGTCTGGCTGTCTTCAGACTCCGTGGGCCCTCGTGGTACCAGGTTTGCTGATACTGGAAAAACAAGAATAAAACTAATGGAAAAGCTGAGCTGCTCCTTCTCCTCCTTTCAGCCCCCTAAGCTCCCTCCTCACAGCACATCAGCCCCTGCTCCCAACCCTGTATGCTCTGGCCTCTTCTTAAGGCCATTATGAAAACTATAAGCCCCAGAAAAAGGGATTAAGAGAGATAAATCAATCCCAAGAGAGATAATAAATCCCTATGGATCTGATCCTGACACATTGCCACTTCACTCAGGAACATTCCAGCTGAACACTGACTCCTGTTTAACTACTGACATGGAACTCCTCCTGCTCTACACATCACCCAGTAAAGAGAAAGCCCAGAGCTGCAGAAGTGATTTCTTACAGCACTCAGGGGAAAATGGACTCAGGAGAGAGACAGATGTAGAAAGAAGAATCAAAGGTAGAAACAAATGCAACAGCAGGAACATATATTTTCCTTCCCAAGTGTGAAGACAAACAACAATAAGGAGCTTGGTACAGTAACAAGTTCCAAACCAAACCCTGCACTCCTGGTTTGCACACAGCTTGGCCTGTGAGCACAAACCTCACTTAGTGCTCCTCACTGCCACACTAACATGGAAAAGCCTGAAGGAATGACAGAAGAATCCACACGCTGACCAAAACCAGAGGCCTGGGCACAGCAGAGACCTTCACAGTGAGGTGTCACAGCTCCCCCAGCACTGAGGACAAGAGACCCTTACCTCTTCCCTGGACTTTTTGGACCTGTCATCATCTTTCCTGGTCTTCTTCAAAGCATCTGTGCCCACCACAGACAGGATATTTCTTAACCTGGAGAGAAACACATGAGGTTGCATTCAGTCAGGGAATTCCCAGCTAACCTAACAATAATCCCTGTGACATTCTTTCTGCCTTGGGGTTCTTAGAATAGAATCCCAGAGTGGCTGGGATTGGGAAGGACCTTAAAGCACATCTTTTCCCACACATAGAGCAATCAAACATCCCACTAGGATCAGTATGAAGTTATTTTACTGATATTATAAATATAACAAATTATATTACTGATACTACAGATTCAGTACATAAAACCAATTCCTGGTTTTAGCTGTTCCTTGCTGTCACTGAGGATGGGGACAAAGGACTGTTACAGAATCCCAGACTGGTTTTGGGTGGAAGGAACCTTAAGGATCATCTCATTCCAACCCCTGCCATGGGCAGAGACACCTAGCCCAGGTTGCTCCAAGCCCCATCCAACCTGGCCTGGAACACTCCCAGGGATGGAGCAGCCACAGCTTCTCTGCTCATCACCCTCACAGGGAGGATTTTATCCCTAATATCCAATCTAAACCAGCACACAGAATCCCAGACTGGTTTGGGTTGGAAGGACCTTAAAACTCATCTCATCCCACCCCCTGCCATGGGCTGGGACACTTTCCACCAGCCCAGGTTGCTCCAAGCCCCATCCAACCTGGCCTGGAACACTTCCAAGCATGGAGCAGCCACAGCTTCTCTGTGCCAGTGCCTCAGCACCCTGATAGGGGAGAATTCCTTCCCAATATCCTATCTATCCGTGCTCTCTGGCAGTGGGAAGCCATTCCCTATGTCCTATTACTCCACCCCTTGTTCAAATCCCTCTGCAGCTCTCTTGGAGCCCTTTAGGCCCTGGAAGTGGCTCTAACTCTCCCAGCTGCCCTGTAAGGCAGCACTGCCCCCCAGCAGCAGTCTGCACCCCATCCACGCGGAATGGGCACCCTGGGAGCTCCCTGTCCCTGCAGACATCTCACCTCTCCCTGCGCTCGGCAGGGCCCTCCCCGAAGAGGGTGCTGGGCTCGCCCAGGGCGCGCAGACAGGCCTTGACCTCGGCGTCGTCCGTGGAGACGTTGATCTGCCGCGCGCGCTTCCGGCGCTCGAACTCCGCCAGCACCTCCGCCTGCCGCTCGCTCAGGTGGTCCTCCAGGTCAAACACCTCCCCTGGAGCACACACCAAGCCCCCTCAGCACTGCACACACACCAGGAACACTCCCAAAAGGGCTGGTCCGAGTGTGGAGACACCAATCAGGCATCGTCTCAGGTGTGGGGGTTAAGGGGATGCCCAGAGGTGCTGGGAAGTGTTTCATGGGAGGGATAACAAAGGTCTGAGGGGATGTCCTGAAGTGTGTGAAAGTGTATAATAAAGGTTTGAGGGGATGTCCAGAGGTTCTTGGAAGTGTCTAACCAGGGTTTGGGCTGATGCCCAAAGGTGTTTGGAAGTGTCTCAGAAAGGTTTGAAGGGATGATCAGAAGGCATTTGGAAGCATCTAACAAAGGTTTGAGGGGATGGCCAAAAGTGTTTGGAAGTGTCTTAGAAAGGTTTGAGATGTCCAGAGGTGTTTGGAAGTGTCTAACAAAGGTTTGAGGGGTGTGCAGAGGTGTCTGGAAGTGTAGTTTCGTAGAAAGGATTTGAGGTGATGCCCAAATCTGGTTGGAAGTGTCTAACACAGGGTCGAGGTGACGTCCAGAGGTGTTGGGAAAGTGTTATGGGAAGGATAACAAAGGTTTGAGGGGATGCCCAAAGGTGTTCTGAAGTGTCATGGGAAGGATAATAAAGGTCTATGGACATGTCCAGAGGTGTTGGGAAGTATCATGGAAGGATAACAAAGATTTGAGGTGGTACCCAGAAGTGCATGGAAGTGTTCCATGGGAGGGATTTGAGGTGACACCCAGAGGTGTTTGGAAGTGTCTCACAAAGGTCTGAAGGATGCTCCCAGCCATGGATGGAGTTATGTAGCAAAGACGCCTAGAGGTGTTTGGAAGTGTTTCACACAAGGGATAGCAAAGGTTTGATGGGATGCCCGGAGGGTGGTCAGAGGTGTTTGGAAGGGTCAGATTTCATGAAGGGAACAAACTCCAGGTAGTTGCACACACTCACCACTGCTGATGTTGATGTTTCCAGCCTCCAGGGCAGCCTTCATGCCCTCCTTGCCCAGCAGTCCTGCCTCCCCCTTGGCCAGCCTCTCCCGCTCCTTCTCCTCCAGGCTCCCATAAAAGATGGGAGCTCTCTTGGCTGGAGGTGCATCGCTGTCCTCTGGGGGCTTGGGCTTGGTGGGCTGCAAGGAAAGACACAGTTTAGTGTGTTCTGGGTACAAAGAGCCACAGAGCTCTGCTGTGCTGGGAAAACTGCACAATGCACTGTGGAGACACTGGAACTGGGTCTCAGAGAATCACAGACTGGTTTGGGCTGGGAGGGATCATAAAGTTCATCCCATTCCACCTCCTGCCATGGGCAGGGACACCTTCCACTAAACCAGGATGCTCCCAGCCACATCCAACCTGGCCTGGAACATGTCCAGGGATGCCGCAGCCACTGGGCAATGAGGTGATGCCCCAAGGGCAAAGAGTACATCTAAAATGCCACATTACAATGCTTAAATCAGGTTTCTGACTGTTCATGACCCACACGGAGCTGTTTTAAGGCCCTGGGGGGGGGATCTTTTGTAAAACCTTCAGAACACGAAGCTTCTCCTCCTCCTGCTGAGCCCCAGCACAGCCAACAGCACTGGCCCCCCAACTCCCAGCGCCCCCGCGCCCAGGTCCTCCTCGCGGAGATAGGCAACACACAACCCCTAGGAAAACCCCACGCGATTCCCTATAAACACAGCAAAACGCTCTGCCCGCGGCCCCTCGGCTCTGGCCCAGCGGCGCACGGCAAACCCC